TTAGCATGTTAGCATATATCAGTACAAAGAGGGTTTCAGTGTGTATATATATATAATATGTATTACATGTAATATACATTATATATGTATGTATACATATATATACATACACATATATCATGTAAACAAGTTACTTAGACCATTTTAACCTTCAGTCACCCTCTTTATTAGCCCTCTCTGATTCTGCTGGTATTCTATCCCCAACAGAGCGTGTTTTACTCTTCCTGTCATTCATTTTTTTAAGTGTTTATTAATTGCACTAAGGGGTTCTGTGGTGATATTTCAGACGTGCATGTATATTTTCCTTACAATAACCCTATTGCTTATAATACATCTTTTTCTTTTTCTTTCTTTTTTTTTTTTATTTGTCGGCCATGGGACTTGAACTCTGGGCCTGTCACTGTCCTTGAGCTCTTCAGCTCAAGCCTAGTGCTCTACCACTTGAGCCACAGCGCCACTTCCTTAAAATACATTCTTAAGAACACTCATGGAAGTCAGATGCAAGTGGCTCAAGACTGTAATCCTACCTACTCAAGAGGCTGAGATCTGAGGATTGCAGTTCAAAGCCAACCCATGTGGCTAACCTTGAGCAGAAAGAGCTCAGGGACAGCACACAATCCCTGAGACCAAGCCCCAGGACCAGCACACAAAAAAAAAAGAATATTTATGGGTGGACATACCCAAAAGAGTCAATAAGGTGCATAATTTCCACAACGGATTCTTTTCCCAATAAGTGAAATCATAAAAATTTTCAGCACTTTCACATTTGTTCTGTATAGTGAGAAGGGGAAAAGAATCCTTGTTTCTAGCAGTATGGAGGTTCCTCAAAAGACTTCACATAGAACTCCCCTATGACCCAGCAATCCCACTTTTGGGCATTTACCCAAATGTTTACAAACAAGACCACACTAAAGCTACCAGCACAACTATGTTTATTGCAGCATTATTTACCATAGCTAAGATATGGAACCAACCCAGATGCCCCTCAGTAGATGAATGGATCAAGAAAATGTGGTATATATACACAATGGAATTCTATGCCTCCATCAGAAAGAATGACATTGCCCCATTTGTTAGGAAATGGAAAAACTTGGAAAAAATTATATTAAGTGAAGTAAGCCAGGCCCAAAGAAACATAGGTCCCATGGTTTCCCTTATTTGCAATATCTAGTATATGTATGAGTCAAGCGGAAAAGGTCAGATAATGTGATGTCAGGAAAATGAACCCTTAGATATGTATTTTAATGTTTTTTTCTTTCATGCATGTGTTTCTAACGCATTTATAAGATTATCTCTTTGTTGCTTTGTATGTCCCTCCCCCATAGGATAACCCCTGCTTTCACTATATTTGATGTCAGTATAACTTGTGGAGGAGATGGGGAAAAACCAGTTGTTTAAGGATACAGGTAGACCTGTTGCAACAATGAGAAGTACAAGTTGTCATGTCCAAACAACGTCGGTGGGGGGGGGGGGGGGGGGGGGGAGGAGAAGGATTGGGATTGGGGGGGGAGGGGGGAGGCTGGGAAGGGAGGTGAAGGGTAAACAAAGGAGGAGGCTGCAATGCTTGGTAAGAAATGTACGAATTATCCTGCCCATGTAATTGTAACCCCTCTGTACAGTATGTTCACAAATAAAATTAAATTAAATTTAAAAAAAAAGAATCCTTGTTTCTAGAAAGTTGAATTATGTAGCAATCTTTGGTAACATGTGGCTCAGTCATCTCATTTCATAAAATGTGTCAAATAATAAACCTTACTTTCACCATAGCATACTCTAACAATTAAATCTCTTAAATTGAACACACAGAGACAGAGACTGAGAGGGACCTCAATCACATTTCCTCTGGCAATACAGTACTCTAGTCACAACTATATAAGTGTCAAATAAATAGAAAAGCACACTGACTCCTTTAAAATATAATCTGCTGATCCATGGTGCACCACCAATCTCTGCACTTACTGTTTATATATAAATATACAGTCTACATCAAATAGCACAGTATAAAGTGCCCATGTAAATCAAAGTATAAAGTAGGGTCAGCAGAAAGATACCTCTACAGGCCCTTATAAAATATTTTACCAAGAACAAAATAAGGGTACATTTAAATATAACAGTTATATTCATTTGATAATTTTGTCATTACAAAAGTACACAGTTACAAAAAAGATTAAGGTTTGGCCTCTAACTTCAAAGAATTCACATAAGAATGTTGAAATCCTTTGAGATCACAAAGGGCAATTAACTTGCAGAGGTTGTCGTAGCCAGATTATCAGGTGAAAAAGTGGCAGGAAGGGTATCAACAGGCAATGGAAACAGCAAAAGCAAATGCATGAGTATCGAATATACAAATAATCAGATGCCCTGAGTGGACAGAAGAACAAGTAAGCATAGGCATGCCAAGATAGTAATTAGGGAAGCTACTGTCATGTATCCCATGACAAGGTGGCCAGCCTTTATCCAGAAGGCCACAGAGAACTCATATATAATGAAACTAACTGACAGCAATGGAGAAGACAGAGTAAAAAGGTGAGACGGGATATAGAAGATATGAAGACACAGTTATGATAACTAGAATATTGTAACAATACAATCAGAATTGATTAATCAAAAATATACAGAAGAAACAACAGCAGGAACAACAATCTACATCAACTTTCCCAATACATGCCATATCAACATTCAGTGCACAATCTTTGTGAATGCAGGCCACTACTGCCCCATTTTACAAATAAGAAAACTGAAGTTTAGAATAAGAAAGTTGTTTTATCAGAATCCAGAACATCTAGAAGGTAACAGAGCCCGGACACAAATTGAAGACTGACTCCAATGTCTGTAGTCTGGACCTTAAGCACTTGCATCAAGTACATTTGACACGAATCTGACACTGACTCCAAAGTCCATAGTCTAGGCCTTAAACTCTTGCATACAGGCAACAGAAGTAAAGAATTTAATTAATTAAATCTTAGAAGACACATATACTCAGCAAGACTTAATGACCAGTGACCATCCACACTCCACACAGAATCTTCATTTACACACTAATTTTGCCTTCTTGAAATGCTTCTGAAAATTGATTGCTTCCTCTAGAGATTTCTATAAAAATATATTGGTAGACTTAGCCATAGGTATCTTACACAGGAGTTTTTTTAAATCTAAAAAACCCACTGAAACTAAGGAGAAGAGCCGGTGAAGAGTGTGTGCTTAGTGTACACAAGGCCTGGGTTCAATACTCAGCACCACTTAAAAGAAGCTTTTTTTTTCTCTTGTAGCGACAAGAAACAAAAAAAGAAAAAGAAAAGAACAAAAGGAGAAAGAAAATAACTCAGAATTAAAATAAGAATACTTTTCAGTCACTTGAATTTTCACTCAAGGCCCATGCTCTACTACTGGGGCCATACCTTCACTCAAAACCTCTCACTTGATAACTATGGTACTCAAAGGAAATAAGAATTGTAGCCACTCTATTTCAGCATGCAAATCATCTTTTCTATTTATAAAAATACATGTTGACCTGTCAGTTTGTACAATGATTGTTAATTAACATTTCTTTCAATAAATTAAATCATGCTTCCCTTTCATTTTCACAATACTCTCATTTCTTTTTGTTCATTTTGTCTTCCGTTTTATTTTTGAGATAGGTTCTCAATATATAGCCCAGGCTAGCCTTGAGCCTGTAATCCACCTGGCTCAGCCTCATAAGTGCTGGGATTACAGGTGTGTAACATTTCTGATACTCATTTTTGAAATGTTAGAAGATGTCTTATCAAGTTTGAATTTATCTTGATTATAAATATAAGTAACAACAAAATATGAGAAACACAGTTTGTGTTGTATTTATCATTCAAAGACAAAGTTATTTCATGCAGTAACGAACAGCACTAATATACAATCACCTAAGGTTGACTGAATCACCCCAGATATTAACCATTAACTACAGGTGTCAGTTTAAACAAAAAAAAACCTGTGTAGGCGGCGCTGGTGGCTCATGCCTGTAACCCTAGATACTCAGAAGGCTGAGATCTGAGGATCACAGTTCAAAGCCAGCCCGGGCAGGAAAGTCTGTGAGACTCTTATCTCCAATAAACCACTCAGAAAACCAGAAGTGGAGCTGTGGCTCAAGTGGTAGAGTGCTTGCCTTGAGCTGAAGAGCTGCAGGACAGCACCCAGGCCCAGAGTTCAAGCCCCATGACTGACAAAAAAAAAAAAAAAAAACCTATGTAAAATTGTTAAAGTCAGTAAATAGCCGTTATAATTCAGTGAAAAGATGTAAATAAGAATTTTTATTTCGGGGCTGGGAAGGTGGCTCAGTGGTAGAGCGCTTGCCTTGCATGCATGAGGCCCTGGGTTCGATTCGTTAGCACCACATAAGCAGAAAAAGCTGGAAGTGGTGCTGTGGCTCAAGTGGTAGAGCACTAGCCTTGAGCTGAAGAGCTGAGGAACAGTGCCCAAGCCCAGAGTTCAGGCACCATGACCAGCAAAAAAAAAAAAAAAAGAATTTTTATTTCAAAAGAGTAAACAGATGAAAAAAATAATTTTTCTTTCATTGATCATAATCTAACACCTTTAAGCCTTTGTTTCTTTCCTAACAGTATCTGTAAATTAAGGTTTCTCCACTGAAGGAAGTTTGTTCTGTTGCAATTTCAGTTACAAGTTCCAGCGGAATAAAAGTTCTAACAGTCTTAAAGCAAGAAACCCAAAAAAAAATTCCAGGGCTGGGAAGGTGGCTCAGTGGTAGAGTGCTTGCCTCTCATGCATGAAGCCCTGGGTTTGATTCCTCAGCACCACATAAGCCAGAAGTGGAGCTGTGGCTCAAGTGGTAGGGCGCTAGCCTTGAGCTAAAGAGCTGAGGAATAACGCTCAGGCCCAGAGTTCAGCCCCCATGACTGACCCAAAAAAAAAAAAAAGAAAGAAATTCCATCATCAGATCCAAGAGCTTAACAACTCAAAGGTCCTTGGAAACAGACATAGATAAGTTATCAAACTATTTACTATAACCTTACCTCATATCTTCAAGCAAATCACATTCTGCTTGATGTTTGGCTTGAAGTCTTGTCATCTGTTCAACTTGAATGTTTTTCAACTCTTGTGTAACTTTCACCTAGAATAAATCATATATTTATAAAAGTCTTCTTACAATTTGAAGCACAACCTACTTAAAAACACTTAAAACTTGTCAGAATATGTACTTTTTGCTCTACTCTCCTTGAAGACCATAAATCCATTATTTGCCATCTAGTTTTATTACTAATGATACATAATAACCAAATAATCTGAAAGAGGCTGAATACACATTTTTGTGCACAAGTAAAAAATGACAGATTTAAAGAGGTGCAAAATATAGTAGACATTCTACTTTATGCACAAGCTCAGCACAGTTTTAAAAGAACCTCTCTTCCATTTCTTCTCCCCCAAAAAAGATACAGATACTGACCACTAGGAGAGATGAGCAGAGATCAGATGGGAGAAGAGACATTAAAAATACCGAATACCTAACAACCAAAATTTAGACCATCGTGAAATAATATGTATGAATGAACTATATAAATTATTCCACAATAGCTGGGAGAAAGGACAGGCTGGGGATGATGTCCTCCATTCGCTGACAGCCCATCAAACCACAATCTCTTTCTCACAAAGGAGAACTCAAAAAGTGACCTTCCAGCATATACAGTTCTTTTAAACTAACCCAGCAAGCCAGGCCCCATGGTGGCTCCACTTCAAACATCGAGAGCCGCAAATGCCAGCTGGCCAGAACCTCGACCACAAGGCTGGACCCTAGAGTTCGAGGTTCCAGTAGTGGAATGCTGGCCACCGGAGAGGTAGTACATATGCAAAAGAAAAAGATTCAGCTGGAGAAACACCCATTTAAAGGGGGAAAGAAGAGAAAGCTGGGGACGGGTGAATTAGACATTCGGCAAATGTTTGCCCAGAAGAGGAGGGCAGAACGGCCTCCTCCCTCCAGCACCCAGAGTAGATAACCAGTATTCATCTGCAGGATTAAACGCAAGGGAAGCTGCTCACTAGCCTAAAACACCGGTCACTCCCACCCTGGCCATCCAAACCCAGCTTGCTGCCGCAAACTCGCTTTCCTGGGGGAAGTGCCTCGGTTTCCTGGCCCCCTTGACAGGGGCAGGGCGGAGTGGAGGGTGGGGGGAAGAAAGGCAGAATCCGTCAATTCTTAATTTGCTTTTCCTTGGGGTGGAAGGGCGGTGACTCCTCCAACTTCTTTACGGCAGTCCCGGGTAAAAGGGGAGGGGAGGGGGGGAACAGGCCAAACCTTACCGCTAGGCTTGAAACAAATCCACACACACACACACACACACACACACACACACACGCCGCAGGACGACAACCGACTGGAGGGCTTAAACCTGGTGCAGACTAAACAATCACACACGCACAAGGGCTCTGCAAATCTGCAGGGGCTCCCCCTGGTTCCCCCCGGTGCAGCCCCGAGAATGCACTTTGCAGTGGGCGGCACGACCATGCGGGCGCACACACCTAAATACACACCCAAAACTCTTGCACAATATCGGGAAGGGGGGGGGGAGGCTCCAGCGCTACCGGAGTCCCTGGCTGCCCCTCGGGGGGAAAGGCAGGCACCTCGCACACGCGCCACCCCCTCCCACCCCTTCCCCCCACCCCCCTCCCGCACCCCCGCCTGGAACCGGCGGCAACCCAGTGACATGCCAGAGGCGACCAGCGGTCACGGCCCCTTGCGGAAAGGGGGAGGGGGCACAGTGGTGGCCCCGGTCGCGTTCCGGGTACGCATCCCTTCAAAGCTCCAAAGCCCCTCCAGCTGCGTCCTTACCTTCCTCGGCGGCGGCTGCATGATGCTGAAGGGACATCAATCCTTCCCCCGACGGCGGCCTTAAAGGACGGTCAGGAGGAAGGCTGAAGAGGGGGCCGCCCTGCGAGCGAGGGCGCGTGCGTGCGTGTGAAAGGGAGCCCGAGGAGGACTCGCCCCAGAGGCTGCCAGGCCGACGGGCAGCAAAAGGACCCAGGTCGGAGAGAGTGTGAAGAGACGGAGGAGGAGGAGCGCGGGGAAGGCCTGGGGCCCGGGCAGCCCGGGGGGTGTGTGAGGAAAAGGAGGCGGAGACCGCGAGGGGGCGGGGGCCGGGAGCGGGGGCGCCAGGGTCTCCCGGCTCGCCGAGCCTCTGGTGAACAGCAGCCGCGTCGCTCGCGCTCCCCGCCCGCCGCGGCGGCCCCCCACCCCACCCACCCCACCCACTCGGGCAGCCCGGCCCTCGCGGTGCCCAACGCCCCCGCCCGGCCCGGCGAGGAGGAAGGCGGCGCCGCGTTCCCAGCTAGAGCTCCACCACTCAGGCCGCGGGAATTTCCGGCCCCGCCGCGCGGTGCAGCGCCCCGCTCCGGCGGCGAAGGAAACAGCTCAGTCCTGCGCCCGGCTTCAGGGGGCCCGAGCCAGGCTGAAGCGAGGGAGCGGGGTTGCGGCGCGGGGCTCTGTATTGTGCTGGCGGATAGGGGGAACTAACGGAATGGTGGACGGATGGGAGAGGTGGAAAAACCAAAGGAGCGCGAAAATCCCCCCTTTCTCACTGAGAGTGGCACGTTCCAAACGCCTCCAGTCCTCCCTCCCCCACATGGAGAGGCAGCCGGGGGCTTCCCGCGCGCTTTCCCGCCAGCCGGCCGCGGTGCGCGTCTCCGGCCGGGGGCGCGCACGTGGGCGAGAGAGGGCTCTGCGCCGACGCACGCGCACAGGCCGCCCCCCGCCTCCTGCTGGCTCCAGCGACTGCAGCGTTTGTATTGGGATGTGTGATAGGGGTGGGAGGAGATGCTCGAAGTGAGATTTTATTCTTCTTTGCAACCGGGAGCGGTCAGCATGCCGGTGACTCTAAGAGAGTTACCGGTTTTGGTTTTTGGTGTTTTTCTTCCTCCCTCTGGATCCCCACCACGAAGAGATTGAGCATGAACGAGTCCTTTTGCAACTGACCGCAAGTGCCAGGCCGTTACGATTTGGGGGGTGGGGGGTGGAGGAGGCAAGCAGTTGTCCTGCAAAAGAACAAATGGCTCTACTATAGTGCACCCCCAAGACGAAGGTCACCGGCGTCTCTGCTGGAAGAGAACAGAATGGTCTTAAGGCCACAGCCCCATGTCATATGTGAAGGCTATTGTCTGTAGAGAACTGGAAATGCTCTGAAGGTCACACGGCAGAACTAGAATCTGTAGGTCAGGAGAGGTTCTATTCGTTGTAAAGAAACTGATGCAGGAACTGGAGACTGAGGGGTGGCTAAGTGGTATAATGTTTGCCTACCATTGTGAAGGCCTTGAGTTCATACTCAGCACCACATAAAAAGGAAGAGGGGACAAAAAGGAAAGAAGAGAAAGATGGATGATAACTATAGGGAAAAGTAGAGGACACAGCAAGGAGCTTGGAGGAAGTCCTTGTCAATCCTGCTTGTCACAGGCTGGTAGCCTGGTTAAACTAAGATCCTTCCACACCTCTTCTTGCTCTGCCCACACCACCCGAAGGAGTGGTGTCAGCCTTATTTGGGCTCCTTAAAAGAGTGAAAATGGCTCTTCCTCATACCTAAGGAATTGTTCTGAAATACAGGGCTGTGAGGAGAGTGAGCTGGGTAAACCAGCTGTTCTAAGAAGTGCAATTCAGGCAAAAGAGGAAGGTCACTGAGGTCTGGATAGACCAAGGTAACTTGCCAGATGGCCACATGTGGCCAAAAATTGGGACAGTGGAATTTGAACCCAGGTAGTTCACACTGAGTTAGACTATTTTCTTGTGCAGGAAAGAGCCATAGCTCTGCTGGAGTCAGCTCTATATCTAGAACTGGGTACAAACTAGGAGACCTATCTTTCAGTTTCTGGTTTCCTTGAAAGTCCTCCACTAAAATCTCAATTAGATCAGGAAAGGCCTGGGGCAAGCAAATGGGTACCGGGCGGAGCCCAGACTGGCTGAGGGACCACAGCTAGAGCTAGAGCAAGCAAACTGACTGGGCTCCAGTCTCAGCCCCCACCATTGTAGAACTGTAAGCTAGTCATTTCCTCATTTTAAAAGTGGAGGTACAGGGGCTGGGAAGGTGGCTCAGTGGTAGAGCGCTTGCCTTGCATGCCTGAGGCCCTGGGTTCGATTCCTCAGCACCACATAAGCAAAAAGAAAAAAAAGCCGGAAGTGGCACTGTGGCTCAAGTGGTAGAGTGCTAGCCTTGAGCTGAAGAACTGAGGGACAGCGCCCAGGCCCAGAGTTCAAGCCCCATGACGGGACCCAAAATAAAATAAAATTAAAGTGGAATTACAGGGCTGGGAAGGTGGCTCAGTGGTAGAGTGCTTGCCTTGCATGCATGAGGCCATGGATTTGATTCCTCAGCACCAGAAGATAGAAAAAGCCAGAAGTGGCACTGCTGTTCAAGTGGTAGAGCTGAAGAGCTAAGGGACAGCACCCAGACCCAGAGTTCAGGCCCCACAACTGGCCAAAAAAAAAAAAAAAGGGTGGGGGAAATAATACCTTCCTCACACATTTGTTGTATTAATGAGAATTTCTCCTAACAGGACCTGACACATAGTCAGTACTCAAGAAATACCATTTGTGAAGCCTGGTACCAGTGGCTCACACCTTTAATCCTAGCAACTCAGGAGGCTGAGATCTGAGAATCACGGTTCAAAGCCAGACCAGACAGGAAACTCCTTGAGACTCTTATCTCTAATAAACTACTTAAAAAAGCAAGAAGTGGTACTGTGGCTCAAGTGGTAGAACAGTAAGCAAAAGAAGCTCAGGGACAGCGTTCAGGCCCAGAGATCAAGCTCCAGAGCAGGAAGAAGGAAAGGAAGGAAAGAAGGAAGGAAGGAAGGTCATTTGTTGCTCAAGATTTATCTATAGTCTAACTCAGTGTAAACCACCTGGGTTCAAATTCCACTGTCCAATTTTTGGCTACATATGGCCATCTAGCAAGTACCCTGGTCTATCCAGACCTCACTGACCTTCCTCTTATGCCTGAATTGCACTTCTGAGAACAGCTGTCTGAGACTCTAACTTGTGGGAAACTGGTGGGTTTCCCAGCTTACCCTTCTCACACCCCTTTATCTCAAAAACAACTCCTTATTCAAAGCTTATCAAGCACTGGAAATGTAGAGTTGAGCCGAACAGCATCAGCCTATGCTATACCAAGGCCAAGTTCTAGACCAACTATCCCATGAATGACACTGGACTCTTGGGGAGGGATAGCAGCACTTGCAGGAGACTAACAAAGAGTTGGATGCAACTGCTCTAGCCCAGACATTATCTTCTCCTTACCTCCCTCCTCAAGAAGTAAATACCAAGGGTATAGAAATGCTGGTTGTTGGGATCTTTAGGATCCAGCCTAGACCCCTGATCTACTAGGCCTTCTCTGGAGTCCTTTTGCAGAATAAGATAATTGATGTTGGGCATAATAGAATACACCTGGGACCTCAGTACTCGGAAAGCTAGGCAAGAGGGCTGGGAAGGTGGCTCAGTGGTAGAGCGCTTGCCTTGCATGCCTGAGGCCCTGGGTTCGATTCGTTAGCACCACATAAGCAAAAAGAAAAAAAAAGCCGGAAGTGGTGCTGTGGTTCAAGTGGTAGAGCACTAGCCTTGAGCTGAAGAGCTGAGGGACAGTGCCTAGGCCCAGAGTTCAGGCCCCACGACCAGACCCCCCCCCCCCAAAAAAAAAGAAAGAAAGCTAGGCAAGAGGATTGCAAGTTTGAGGCCAGCCTGAGCTATGCAATGAAACTCTTGTCTCAAAATAACAAAAATTGAATGCATAGAACCCAATTCTTTCATGGGGCATGGTCCTCTATGAAGAATGTTTAAAAGAGCTGGGAGAATAAGTAAGCAGAATCAGGAACATAAAACCCATACATTCTAAACTCTATTGGACAGAGCAAAGGATTTTTGTGACTTATATAAGCCTGACTTTAAATGCCTTCATCTGAGGGATGAGGGAGAATGATAATGGGGCGACATTCATCAAAATGCATTTTACTTAATAAACTGATTTGTTCAAGGGTAACTCCTTTGTAGAACTACTTAAAGATAATCATTTATAATTTTTAAAAAGAAAATAAAGGACTCCTCTGAACAAGGGTAGGGATTTCCAGAGCCTTGTTCTTACAATACAGGCCAGCACTGTGTTACCAGTACCATCTCTTGAGATTCTTTAGGAAAAATGCAGATTAGCAAGCACTGTGGCCCTAGAGACAGAACTAGGCCAGGCCTCAGCTGGATCTCAGGAAGAAGGTTTTGCAGGCAGAGCTGTCCCAGGAGTGGATGTTCCCCATCCCTGGGGCTACATAAGCAAATACTGTCTCCCTTCCATCAAAGCAGCCACAGATAGAATTTTACTTACTTATTTAAGATAATTGTTTTGTGCCTATCCTGGAGCTTGAAGTCAGGACATGGGCACTGTCCCTTTGCCTTTTCTGCCTGAGACTGGTATTTCTACCACTTGAGCAATACTTCCCAGCTTTTTGGTGGTTAATTGGAAATAAGAGTCTCGTGGACTTTCCTGCCCAAACTGGCTTCATACCCCAATCTTCAGATCTCAGCCCCCTAAGTAATTAGGATTATAGATGTGAGATAGCAGCCAGTCACAGATAGACTTCTTACCCTAGAAAGAAGTTAATAGCTACTACTTGCCTGTGTGTTTGCGACATTGAGATAGACATGTTATTTACATTGTTCCCAACCTTCACAACAACCACTCAGTATACATATGACCCCATTTTACAGATTTCATAGGCTCAGAAATAGAATGACCTATGTAAGGTCATATAGCTAATAAAGGAGAACCAGGCCTGGCCCAGGTTCCCTCTGGCTTCTGAAGCTGAGCCCTCCTTTAGTGTGCTGCAGGACACCTCTCCCAATATACTATATACAAGTGTAAGGTTGTCAGAACCAGGTTCAAAAGCTGCCAAGGAGCTGGGTGTCAATGTATCATACCTGTAATCCTAACTACTCAGGAGACTGAGATCTGAGGATCACAATTTGAAGCCAAGCTCAAGCAGGAAAATCAATGAGACTCAATTCCAATTAACCATGAAGTGGAGCTGTGGCTCAAGTAGTAGAGCAAAAAGCTCAGGAGGGACAGTGCCCAGGTCCTGAGTTCAAGCCTTAGGACCAACACACACATACACACACACCTACCAGCTTGTTTGATATTCCACCAGCTTCCTGGGAGAAATTGT